TCTAAATAGTATTAGCGAGCACGAAATTTTATCGCTTACATTAGAGAACTAAATGAGCTCTTTCCGTAGCAATAATAACTTGGATGACATCTCTTGGTTTCGAAGAGAAAAACTGGAAAAACCGGCGATCGCTTGTTCGCGCTAACAGTGTCGCGCTCTGTACCTTAATGCCAAGAGAGAATATGCAAAAAAGAAACGAATTGACACATTACAAGAAAATGGTCGAATTTTGACTGATGAAAAGGAAATTCGAGGAACATTTGAAGCCTACTACGAAATATATTTACTTCCAAGCCACTTAATGTAACCATGCAAATGCAGGAATCTTTATTATCAGAGCTACCAACACTACCAAAAGAGACGACCGAAAACCTAAACGCCCCCATCGATGTAGGTGAAGTTTAATTAAATATTTAAAAAAAGATAAGAAAACGAGAAGGTCCCCCCCCCCCCCCCCCCCCCCCCCAGATGGTTTAACAGCTAGTTTTTACAAGAAATGAAACAAGAGACTTGCGCCTCTACAAATGTTTTCAACGAATCGTACTCCAACCAATCTCTACCGCCATTATTTCGGAAGGCACACACAATGTTAATACTTAAATCCAACGACTTAGACAAGCTTCAGCGGCTAGAAGGTTATCGGCCAACAAGTTTAGTCAATAACGACTACAAAATTTTTGCACGAGTGCTAGCAGGTCGATTGCAAAGCGTAATATCTTAGATTGTTGGTGACCACCAGGCTTTCTCCATTAAGGCAAGGAATATTCAAACCAACCTTCACATAGTTCGATCTATAATAGAGGTCTGCCAACAAACACATGAAGCCGCGGAAATTTTACAACTCGATCTTGCAAAGGCCTTTAATAAAGTTCAACACTCCTTTCTCTTCTCTCTTCTGGGGCACATACAAGTAGAGAAAATGTCGAGCGTGGGATAAAACGTTGTTATATTGACATATCAACCAAATTAATGGTCAACGGGGCTCTTACACGATCAATAGAAGTTCAGCGTTCAGTCGGGCAAAGATGCCCCTTGTCACCCCTTCTTTTCGATCTCTACCTTGAACCACCCTGCAGAAGCATCATGAACGACAACGAAGTTCAAATAGTCTCCACAGCTGCGAAGTCAAGCTTCCGGCCTACGCCGACGACGTTAATTGTGCTTAGAAAACGCAATGTCACGTGTTTCACATTTTTGTGCCGTGTCTGGTGCGGCGATAATCTACGAAAGTTGGGGTTCGTTTTGTGGATAGTGTGGAAAATGACTCCGCCCATATTTGTGAACATAAAATGGTCCACCGAGAAACCACCACTGTTGGGAGTACCGCTGAATGCAGTGGACAATCCAAAGGCAATGTGGGACAATGTTGGAAAAAATGTCAAATCAGCTGCACGCGTGTGGAACCTCGGATATTTATCAACCTTTGGTGCAACATTTACTTTTTGTCAAAACTAACATACCTTCTGCAGGTTATGCATTGTTCCAGAGTAACAGTCAGCGTGTTTAACAGGATATTTGCGACATTCATATCTGAGGTCACCGTATGAGCCAATGAGAAGATCAAACTTATTTCGGAAAATTCAAGACGGGGGCTTGGTCTGTGTCACATCTTTGTGAAACAGCTAGTTGCCAGTTGGAATTTTGTTTTTTTAGACAGGAAGAGCATCCTTTCTTGGAGATGTGCAAAAAGTTTTTCTTGGCAAAATACTTGGTACCACCAGCTGATGATAACCACGAGTAAAATAACGTTACGAGGATATTATAAAGAAGTAGGAGACACTTTGGATTTCGTAAGAGCAAGGCTTGACCTAAACTTTTTAACACCGTGCTAAAAAAAAAAGGACGACTGGTAAAGAAACTTTGCTTTCGACTTCGTTGTACTGTCCGTTTTTTTTATTTTTCCTTCGTCTCAGGGTTATTATGGATACCATTCATCAGCTCGCCTGTGTTTTTTACCTTTCTTTGCTTTCGCTGTTTCCGGACCCAGAACCTCGGTTCGTTGTGTGCGCGTTAATAAATTTCCTTTACACCCCCCCCCCCCCCCCCCCCCCCCACCCCCCTCGCCCCGCGTGTCCCGCATTTCGCTAGCAGAATGGTGGTCGCACGGTGTACCCTAAGGCGAAGGCAACACCAGGCGAAGAAAGAAAGAACGAGCACTAGAAAGGCGGGACGGGAGAGGACGGCAATTAAGGGCGAGGGGAGAAAGAAACAGCATTAGGAACATTAGAGAGGGAAGGAGGTTCTCTTGTCCTCCCCAGCCTTCCTAGTGCTTGCCCTTTCTACCCTCGCCTGGCGTTGCCTTCGCCTTTGCTGCACGCAACATTCACTGGACGCCATATTTGAGGGCGATGTTTAGAGCGCATGTTCAGAACGAGCTCACATTAATAGCCTGCTAGGACCGGCAATCTTGATGGTGCGGAATGCACGTTGCAAAAGAACTGCGGGAGCTCGCCGTCAGCACGCGCTCAGCAGCCGCGCACACAGATATGGCCGCCAGTGAATACTCCCTACAGATAATAGGTTAGAATTAGGCCCACGCCAAACACATCACAAATAGTAACTAGGGGAGTGAAAAGTTCGACAAAGGTTCGACTCAGGTTCGACTGCTATGCGCATGCGCGACAGGCTTGCCAGTTGGCTTCGGATTGGATGGTGAAGGCTAAGGGATGAATTAAAGGCAGCACTGATGGTTATTTCAGTACAAAAAAAAAATACTTCTTCAGTGATTAGAAAATTAAAATAACCCTCTGGCATAAAAACAATCTCCAAACCTAGACATGCTTGTATCAAGGTCTGGTCACACTCTCCACAAAGTCGAACCGGTCGAATCTGGTGAAATGTTCAAAGGTTTCGAACCCCAAAAGTTCGATGACCTAGAAATCTGGTTCGACAAAAGTTCTCGACACCCCTAGTCCCCGCTCCGCGAATGCAGCCACCGAGCAACCATCTTGCATACCGTTATTTTTTTTTTTTTTTTTCTTACTAGCATTGCAGGGGCCGGCGGCAGCGCTCTAAAGACACATTTTCTACTCGTTCGTCGTCATTCGCCGAAGACGTTTTTTTTAAGATTAGGGGTGTCGCGAACCGGCGGAGGTTCAAGTTCGACGAACCTTGTATTGAGGTTCGACCCGTGTGCGCATGTGCGACAGGCTGGCCAGTTGGCTTCAAATTGGTTGATGATGGCTAAGGCATGAACTAAGGGCAGCGCTGATTAGTTATTTTAGTCAATACAGTACAAAAAATTAGGTTATAAGATTCTTCAGTGATTAGAATTAGTTTCTTTTAATTGCAGCTGTTCACAAAATTAATATAGCCATTTGCATAAAAAAAAAAATTCTCCAAACGTAGATATGCTTGTATCAAGGTCTGGCCACACTGTCCACAAAGTCTAACCGGTCGGTTCTGGCGAAAAGGTCGAAGGTTCGTCGAACCAGTTCGACCCAGTCGAACCCCAAAAGTTCGACCTAAAAATCTGGTTCGACAAAACTTCGCGACACCCCTACTAGAGTGTACTAGAAGGAACGAGTGGGGCCACCGAAGTGCTATTTAGGTACCGCCGCATGTGGAAAAAACCGGCTAATCCAAGCCACTTCGCTCGTAGTGCCCTACCGGGAGCTACGAGCGAAGTGGTTCAGATTAGCCGTTTTTTATGAAAAACGCATTTCGTTCCAAACCCAAGCTCGACCAGCACACTGGTCAAGGTCATAGAAACAATAGAACGCAGTACTATATTTTTTTATACAACCTAGACGTTAGTCGTCACGTATATAAAGTCACCGCGACCCAACTTGTTCTCACAATGTCATGCGACATCAGGACGACGCATTAACATCAACGTCATCATCGACGTTGACAACGTACGTTACACGACATCAAGACTGCGTTCTGACGTCATATTGCGATGACAACGACCACGTCAGCATTGACGTTGATGACGACGTCACGGGACGTCAAGATGACAGCATCCTTGTCAATGCGAAGTCATAAGGGCGCTTGGTGTCAGTTCGTCAACGTCGTTGTCGACATGACGCAACTCGACTTCACGAAGATGTCCCGAAGACTTCAGGACATTGACGTTGACGTCAGCGTCGACGACGTTACACGCCGTCAAGACTTCGTCGTGACTGCGGGTCGACGTTGATGCTGGCAAAGGTGACGACGTTGCACGCCGTCAAGGCTTCGTTGTGACGTTAACGACGATGTCAGGATGACGTTACCGTGACGTCATAGCAACGTTTGACATTGCGTGGGATGCCGACGTCAACATCGGCATCGACGACCACGTCCACGTCGTCCTCGACGCGGCGCGCGACGTCATGACCGCTTTGCAGCGGCAACTTGATGTCGCGTTACCATTTCATACTCAACGCGATGTGATGTCACGACTGCGTCACAATGGTGACTTGACGTCGCGTAATGGCGTCCTCAACGCGATGTCACGGCTGCGTTACGATGGCGACTTAATGTCGCGATACGGCGTCGTCTTCGACGTGACAGGATGTCACGACGGCCTTACGACAGCATCTTGGCGTTGCGTAACATCGTAGTCGACGATGACGTCGTGGCGTCGTCGTAACGTCCCATCGTCGTGTCGTGGTGCTTTGACATTACCTCTGACGTCAAAATCATAAAAAACGACACAGGTCAAGATCAAATAAGCAATATAGCCCCTTAGGGACTCTATTGCTTATATGATCTTGACCCGTGTCATTGCTTGATCGCACGCAGCGAAGGTGGCGCTGCGATCGAAGTGGCTTGGTTCCGCCTGAACGCTTTCCACATTTTGAGGTGCAACTGAAAGCATGAGCGGAGCCTGTAGCACCGTCCCACTCACACATTCTAGTACACTCTACCCTTACCCCTATTTAAGATCCTGTGTGAGGCCTTTAGTGTGGCCAGGCCTTGATACAAGCATGTCTAGGTTTGAAGATTTTTTTTTATGCAAAAATTTTTATTTTATGAACAGTTGCAATTAAAAGAAACTAATTCTAATCACTGAAGTTAATAACTTTATTTCGTGTAGTCTTAATTGAAATAACCAATCAGTGCTGCCCTTAATTCATTCCTTAGCCATCACCATCCAATCCGAAGCCAACTGGCCAGCCTGTCGCACATGCGCATGGCAGTCGAACCCGAGTCGAACCTTCGTCGACCTTTTCACAAGAAGTTAAAAAAAGCCGAACCTGGTCGAATGCGAACTCGACCAGTTTGCGACATTACTAATAGTAACACCTCCCACAGTGCGGGAGGTGTTACTATTAGGCACCAGTTACTACTAGGCACCAGGTGCAGACTATGCTCCGGGTGCGAATACACACCAGGTGAGGACTAACCAAGTAAAATCTTTTCTTTTTTCAATTAAATTGTGAACCTGCGGACCATACACAAACTCAGCTCCGTTACGTCACTGCGCGGTGGTGGTGCATTGAGCATCTGGAGCTGTGGGCAAAAGTCACCATGTGGGACGTGCATTCCTGCATTGTTTTGAAAGAAACCAGACGAAAACCTGCCTTCTCGTCAAAACACCGTGACTGAGGCTGTACCAAAAGAGTCGAGAAAGGTTTGAAGGTCAGCTATCATGTGCTCAGTTTGTCCGGGAACGTGGATGTGCTGTGAAAAGGGAAAACTAGATGCCATCGGACCACGAGTGCTTGGGCGGGAAGCACTTTGGGGTTAATTCATGGAACCTCGTAGTCATCAGATTTATTTGTGTTGTTCCAACATGAATGCGGGAAAACCATCAAGTTGTACGGACCACCTGCACACTACATTCACTGTGTCTTTAAATTCAAACGGCCGCCTAATCGTTCAAACTGTTGCCTGTTCTTTCAAACGTTTCTGCTGGTCGTCTGAAAGAGCAGACGACACCACCTCGTAGACTAAACGTTGGCCCGATAATTGCGATAAGAAGTAAGTGCAGGCCTCAAAAGCCTTTTAAGTTTGAAGGTTGGTTGGGGTAAGCAGGCTCGGTGTAAACAGCAGATACAAGGAGATGTTGATCATTGTTACTAGTGGCCATCACCAACTTGTTGTGCCCGATTAACTTGGTCCGATTCTGCTTGCGATATACAGTATCGACGTCGACCATCTCAGCTCTGTTTTACACTTTTGCAGCCCGAACGACATCATGACTAAACATTGCAAGCGGAATCTCATCATGCGAATCAGTTTAGAGTCCATTCTGCAGCTTTCACGAGGAATGAATCGGCACACGTCACATTATTCATGCAATGTTTTGTGGTGCAACGAGCCTCGGTAATTTCGGTAAGGCCGCTCAAGTAGTCGGACATCGCCAGGAAGACGTAGAGTCAACAATTCCAACGCGAAAAAGAGCACGGGGGCAATCACCGATGCCAACAACATTGCATTTCAATGGTTTGCTTATGGGCGACAGCAAGCTTCTTGCCCACACTCCACCGTGCAAGCGCGGCGCCGGTGGCGTCTGCTAGGGGTGCTCCAGTTTGTTTGTAAATATGAGTGGGTCTATACACCGGGTGCAGGCTGTAGTCTTGAAAATGCAGTAGTCTAAAAATGGAACAATTGATTGTGCTGTTGACTGGCTAAACTGCCCGCTGTCAGCTAAATTAGTGGGCTCTAGTGAGTCGGTGCATAAGGAATCTAAATGAAATTACATTAAGATATCTGAAATTTGTGCTCTTCTAGATGATACTGCACAAAACAGCATTCTTCTCACAATAACAAACCCGTTTAAAGTTCTCTGGACCAAAACTGATATCTAAGATGCTCTGGCTTGATAAAGTAAACAATCAAATGAGGCCATTTCCCTTAACATGTTGCTGTATTTGAATTCCTACGAACGAATTGCAGTTTTTATAACGTAGAAAAAATGCCCCGCCTGAAGCTTGCCTCAGGATGCGCCTTGAGGTGTCCGACACAGCAATGGCACTACACATAAGAACGAACCTGGAATGATGATACAAACACTGGACACTTGTCCACCACACAGCTATGACCTACAAGCCTCGTAAACATTACCCCTAATCAAAATGTTCTCATGCGATGATGCTTACAGTGGAAGACCATACACCTCTTAAACTTGAACTAAAAGGGAGAGGTTGAGGTAGATAACCTAGAAAGACAGCCTCACAATTCGTACAGCAGTTTTTCAGCCATCTGTTCGTCCACTCTACGAAACGTCCTGGCTGCCTCGTTGCGCCTCTCCTCCATGCCAGCTTTGTCGCACAGCAATGCCAGCCAATAGGCAGACTCCCTGATGCCTCGCTTCGACTCTACCGTCTCGTAGCACTTCAAAGCAGACGAGGCCAGATGCACAGCGCTCTCCAGTCCCCCATGTCCCTCGCTCTTGAACCGGCACTTGGCCAGGAGCAGGTATAGCTGTCCGACATCCACCAGGCCCCCCTGTGACAGCACTACTGTAACCACTTCTTCCAGTAAAGTGCACGCATGCCCCGGAAGCCCCACCTCAAACTGAACCCCCGCCATCAGGACCACTAAGCTGGCCCGCAGGTAGGACAGATGGTGCTTCTCCGCTAGGGTGAGGCCCTCACACAGGACTGGGATAGCAAGCACAGGCTGGGACGACTCAATTAGAATCTCTGCCTTGAGAAGGTAACACCTCCCTTTAAAGTGGGGAAGGCTGCCCTCAAAATTGCTAGTGTTGTCTCCGTCACCCGTCCCCTTAATGTCCTCAATTGCAAGAACCGTGTCGACAAGGTCCAGGGCTTCGTTGAGGTGTCCCTGCCAGAGAAGGAGTTTGACCTTGCAGAGGTCCCCTTCGAAGCGGTTCAGTATCCGTATTCCGGATGCTAGCCCCTCAGCTCTAGGCCAAAGGGTCTTGTGGAGTGCTTCGTGAAAGCTGCACTCGAGGCGGCACAGAGTGACCAGGTTCTGGCATGCTGAGTAGGCCGGGAAGAGCGTTGAGGCCAAGTCTAGGAGGCTGGTTGAGTCGTTATATCGCCCGTGAAGGGTCAACGCCCAAGCGAGACTGCGCAAGGCCAGACAGGCAGGTTCCCCCATTGGAACGACGCCGGCCGTGCGTAGCTGATCGGCTCTTCCTAGCTGCAACAGCAACTGCGCCTGGAGATTAGCCATTCGCTGAAACCCGTACAATGTCCAGAGGGCAGCCTTCTGTGACGTAACTGTACCAATGCCGGTATCTCCCTGTGGATGCTGGAAGTTGAGCACTTCGCTCCTGGACAAGAGCTCGAGGGCGGCTGCCGGTGGCGAGCCCGCTTCGGCGCCGACTCTTGTAAGCGCCTGGATGCCCAGCGAGGCAATGCCGCACAGGCCTAATTCGGAGGCCCTGGTGACCGAGCACCGCAGTTGGGCCTCCGGACAGCGGGCCCCGTCCAGGCGGCAGTGCCAGGCGAGCGCGTGTTGTAAGAACACTACGTCGTTGGCGTCCTGCGCGAGGGTCACAGCTTCGCGCAGGGCGGCCCGGGCCTCGGCGTCGTGGCCCATCTTAGCGTGAAGCATGGCGAGGTGGAGGGACGCGTAGCGAAGATTACGGCCACTGTCTTCGGAGGATGCCGCCGTCGCCATCGGACCAGGCTTGGAGCTCGCGTCCGGAGCGCTGGTGCGGTCGAAGTGCTGCCGCAAGCTCTCCACGGCGCCAAAGTACTCCTTTACCGAGAGGCAGTTGAGAAAGGACACGTAGTGCGCCTCTGTGAGGGCAGGGTTCCCGCCGACGAGCTCGCGGAGCTTTTGTTGGAGCTGGGGCGGCGGCAGGGCCGCCTTCTCGTTGACTTGCATCAGCGTGACCTGCTGAGCGAGGAACAGATCCGCCTGCCGCTGCGTCGCCTTCGAATCTCCGTTCCCCTCGGCGTCGTAGTACGACCTAAAGCTCTGGTGCAGCTTCACCAAACCGCTGAAGTTGAGCTTGTCAAGTGCCAGAAGCATCCGACGAACAAACAGACCAAGGACGCTGCTCTTGTGCAGAACGGCGGGCGTCGCGGTGGGGTCCGCGAGGAGGTTGTCCAGATTCGGGATGTAGTCCATGATGCCCGCTACCCCGGCGTCGTAGATGGTCCTCAGGCTGACGGTAAAGAGCCGCATGGTGTTTGGGTGCAGGACGCCGTCGAGGCAGCTCAGCAGCTCGCCCAGACTCATGTCTGGGCTCTGGAGCAGCTTGAGAGCGGTGATGGCGAAGTCCCGACACTGCTTGGTCGTGTGCGTCCACAGTTCCTGGTCGGGCTTGAGGTGCCGTTCGGTCTTGACACGGCAGTACTCCGAGACGAGGACCAGCAGCGCGAGCTTGTGCCCCGTCACTTGATCTCGGGAGGAGACCTTGGACGGCAGGAGTGCCCACAGACCCCCTTCCTGGTTCATGGGTGAGGTTGGTGGTCTCTCGCAAGCAGCAAGCCCGCTGAGACGAAGTCCTTGCGCGCGTCGTCCGACGACTTTACCGGTTACAAAAGTGCGATGTGATCGCTCGTATTATGCGCCATTTTAACGTGCTGGGTTAATGAATGGATAAATAAAAAGAAACTCTTTCTTTAAGGTAACGTGGTGACTTGCGCCATCTAGCTTGTTCTGTATTATTCATAAACTTCTAGAAGGGTAGTTGTTACTTAAAAGCTTTTAAACTAGTAAAGACAAATTTAATTGCATTTTGTTAAACCCAACTTAACACGGTGTAAAGATAAGACATTGGTAAGTTTTCGAACCTTCAGTCCAAAAGTTGAGCTTCACCAACTCTTGACTTTTCGAACACACCACACAAATTCCAGTGACGTCGAACTATAAAACGTTCGTCGAAAGGGGTGAATAACAGAACGCAGTCTGCGTGGACGCGCACGCGCGTCTAAAGAAAACAAAACAAGCATGAAGTTGGTGGCGTTGTTTTCGGGTATCGCTGCGATACGAACGTGACATTTTCTATCTTCCATCCTGTTGACAACCTACGAACAAGGTAGGAGGTCTCCTCACCTCTCTTTCTAGGCTTCGTAGATGGTTTGTCCGCATGGTAAACACGACAAGTCGGCTCTTGGAAGTTGGTCGATCGCTTGCGATCTTCGCATAGTTTGCGCAACTCACGGAACATCGGTGCGTCATTTGTAAAGTTACCGGACTACCTTACGTGTATTTCATAGTGAAATCAGCCTTCTGATTATCTCGCTTAAGATCGTAACCAGGGTCTGACAGGTGCTCTAAAGAACGTACTTGGCATTTGAAGTAGTGCGCGGCTAAAACATCTTGAGAAAAAAAAAAAAAAAAATGAAACTGCACGAAATTAAAAAAAAATATTGCGAAGTGGCAAAAATCGTATGAAAAAATAAACTTTCTTTTTGTTTGTTTCGGTGTAAGAAACTAAGGGGAAAAGTGGCATATGCTTTATTTTGAGACTATACACAAACTCAATTCTGTTACGTCACGGCGCGATGGTGGCGCGTCGAGTGCACTTCCGGTCTGGGCCTGTGGGCGGAAGTCACCATGCATAACGTGCATTCCTGCATTGTTTATGAACGAAACCAGACAAAATTCTGCCTTCTCGCCAAAATGCCGCATCTGGGGCTGCACCCAGGAACGGATGCAGGAATTTCCTGAGGGGGGGTCAGGTGTTGGTCAGCGTACCCTATGTTTAGGAACCCCCTCCCCCTCTTCTTTGTTTTACGCCCTAAATTTTACACATGTAAAAATCAAGAGGGGGGTCAGGACATCCGGACCCCCCCTCTAAATCCGCCCCTGGCTGCACCAAAAGAGTCGAGAAAGGTTTGAAGGTCAGTTTTCATGTGCTCAATCTGTCTGAGAATGTGGATCTATGCCGTGAAAGGGGAAAACCAGGCGCCGTCGGACCACGATTGCTTAGGCGGGAAGCACTTTAAGTTGATTTCACCAATACTTGTGTTCATGAGATTTATTTGTTTTGTTCCAACATAAACGTGGGAGAACCGTCAAGTTGTACGGACCGCCTTCGGACTACGTTCGGTGCGTCTTCAAGTTGAAACGGCAACCTGGTCGTTTGAACTGTTGTCTACTCTTTCAAACGTTTCTCTCTGCTTTTCCGGACGACACCGGCCCGTAGATTTAACTTTGGCCCTGTAATTGCGATAAGAAGTAAGTGCTGGCCTCAAAAGATATAAGTTTGAAGGTTGGTTGGGGTAAGCAGGCTCGGTGTAAACAGTCGATACAAGATGTTGGTCATTGTTACCAGTGGCCATCATCGACTTGTTATTTCTGATTCACTTGGTCCCATTCTGCTTGCGATTTTCAGTATCGACGTCAACCATCTCAGCTACGGTTCACCTTTTTGCTGTCCGAGCGACTTCGTGACTGAAAATTGCAAGTGGAATCTCATCATGCGAATCAGTCTTTAGCGTCCATTCTGCGGCTTCCACGTGGAGTGAATCACCGCATGTCAGAGTCACACAAAGTTTTGCATTGTAACGAGCCTTGTTAATTTCGCTGAGGCTGCTCAAGTAGTTAGATGTTTCCAGGAAAACGTAGAATCAACAATTCCAACGCAGAAAAGAGCACGGGGACTCATACTGACGCCAAAAACATTGCATTATTTAATGGTTTGTTTATGGGCAACGGCGGGCTTCTTGCCCACACTCCATCCCGCATGCACTGTGCCGGTGGCATCCGCTAGGGGTGCTCCGGTTTGTTTGTAAACATGAGTTGGTCTATACACGGAGCTTGCTGTCCTTTATTGTCTTGGCTTATATTTGGAAAAGGATCCAAGTGAGGCAAATGTAAAACTTCTATGTCTCTCCAATTAATACACTGAGATGCTGTGTACAAACACTACATATTTTCAGAATCCTAATGAACTGTGCGCACGTTTGTGAATCTGTTTGGACCATTTTCGTGTGATGGGTGCCATGTTGAAATATGACATAGTTGGTGTGACAGAAACTAAGTTTAAGGATAACTACAATAAAAGAGTATAGCCAAGAAAAAAGTCGGAACTGTACATGGCTTGCACATGATGTCATCCAAAGAGCGCTCCGATGGCCATCAGAGAAGAGGGGAAAAAGATCTCTGTCACCAGGATTCTCTTTTGTGTCTCCCAGATTTTCCAAGAAGATTATAAAAGATTAAGTCATCACTCGAAATTCCTCCTAAAGCTCCTAAAGCAGCTTCGCTTCCTCTGTCGTTCATGGTGACCAAAAGTATGCAATGTGATGTTGGTGCGAGCCATGTATAGGCCCAAACCCCTTGAATGTTCGCACCTTCCAGTCGGCAAATAAAGTAATTTGCTATTTGCCCCGATTTGGCTACAACGAATTTCAACGTGGCGGCTGCCACAAAAAAAAAAAAAACAGTCTAGACCTTTTCACCCTCCGTCGCATGGGCGCTGCCATCTTGGAATCGCGTGACGCGGTTGTCATAAGGTGGCTTCAAATCGTCGCTCCTCTCTCCCCTCCGCACTCTGGCAAAGGCGTTGTATTAGTGTTTTTTGTCACACTTTACAGCATTTTTTACAACAGAACTGTTAAGGGCTAGTTTCCCCAGGATCGTGTCCGGTACCAAATAAATGTTGATACCCGTGGTCAACAGAACACTGGTTGTTGCCGTCGCTCATAGATGGCGGTAGCTGTCCAGAGTGTTGTGCTTACCGGTTGTCTGCTTGCTGCCGTCGCTCATAAATCGCGGCAACCTTTCCAGCCTTGGCAATCAGACAACTGGTTGCTGCCGTCGCTGATAAATCGCAGCAACCTTTCTAGCCTTGGCAATCAGACAACTGGTTGCTGCCGTCGCTCATAAATGGCGGCAACATTTCTTCAGAGGAAAAAGAGTGGGAACAGAACAAGCGGCGATGTGTGCACCAGCGCGAATAGTTCCGCAACTGCCGTGAGGCTGCTATTGCCTAAAGTTCCACTGCGTCGAGCGCTTCAGATTTTCTTGCGAAAGAAGAACAGATCGCTTGCCTGGAAAGCTATCGCCGAGAACAGAAGCTACAGCTCCGCTGCTCTTCCTCCTTCACCAGAGTGGAAAGGCTGAAAGTTTTTTTGCCTTGCTTTGTGGTCATCTGGTACTTATTTTTACTGCCTAACTGCATGCCATCAATAGGTGCACAACTTCTGCACTTGATTTCATTGCACGTTTTGACTATTTGCACCTTCGGGGTACCGGACTGTAAGACACACGAGGGTTGAGAGGTCAATTATTTATGACAGCTCAAATTTGCTTAAGAAGCATTGGCACAATAAGAAGTGCAAGGTATATTTATGATCATGCATTTATGATCTTAAAGAAGGCAAATGCAGTCAACACAACATTTCACTATGTGTGTTTCTTAAAAGCATCAAAATGCATCCAAAGCAGGTGTTTTTGATTATATGAGAGGGAATCATTTTTGCGGTATAAACATTCGCTTGATCTGTTTATTTATGAATTTAAAGAAACTAGAGACTGCTCGGTCTCATGTCTGCAGTCATTCAATTTTCTTAAGATATCCAATTAAATAATTTATTTTGACAAAGAGGTTTGAACTTTTCAAGTGAAAAACGTGTCAGAAACAGCATGTGAGTGCCTGACAAAAGCACCCGAGGTACGCAATACGTGATGAAAAAGAAGCCGTCTGCATAAAAATCACTTGAGTGCAGCGTTGTCGATGCTCGATTTGCTCTGGGCACCGCTGAAAGTAAAAAGCATACATATGTTCAAACAAATACAGATCCGTCTACACGAATCTATGAAGTGGTGCCTGGCATTTGACTGGAGCCAAGCTTGCTGGAGGTCAATTCTCTTGTGCCAAATAATTTTATTCCAATATTTATACTGAAGACAGACGTCAGGCTTCAGCCGACAGGCTTCTCCCTTATCTTATTTACTCAATATGTTGTAGCCAAATGTCTGTATAACAAGTGGTTTCCTTAGATCAACATTGTTTAATGCTGCTAGTGAATTCTTTAGCACAGTTGCAGTTGATAGTTGAAAAAGTGTCCTACTCGGCCTAGGAAGCACTATTAAAACATCTCTCGTGTACTTAATTTTTTTAAAGATACCAATGAAAACAATATCTGTTTTTTTTGCATTCTATGCATTATTACAAGGGGGTTTCCCGGTCGGCAATTTTTATGAACACGTGTCCTCGAAAACCAAACAGTGAGCGGTAAACTTGCAAGCTCATCTGTCCTTTGCGATTCGTTGCATTGTTAGTCAGGCCGTCGACCTGCTTTTTCACTGCCCCCATGCAAGGCTCTTCACTAGTTTATTTTTAGGGAAACTATATCCAGTACGTCCATAGACATCACTAGCGCTTCCCCGGCACCATTTCAGTCGTTTCGCCACCTAACCTGGCGAAACGAGGAACATGATCAGAGGAAACTGTTTGTTAAAACGTCTACAATTTAGGCTCGTAACTACGTCGTAGTTCTCAAGGTGGCCCATTACCACTGTATCATCGGTTCTCTACCACAAGGGGTACATTTATATTACAAAGCTAAACGAAAACAACATAACTCACCAACACAGCCGCGAACCCGAAACCAACCAAATTGAAGCCACCTTATGGCACTGCGTGTGTCAATGCCTCCTGTCCACCTGTCAAGTAACTACTGAGATGAGAAGCTCTATAGGGTTTACCTAGTAGACCTTCCATTGTAAAACGGGCCGGAAATAATGGCGCCTACACATAGAAAGCTTGAACTTTCATTGAATGTGCACTGAGTAGGTCAGTCTTCTCGTGTGAAATCTCAAGGCGTAGTTCTCTTCGTGTAAAAAATGAGCAAAAACACTTGTCAAAGTCCATGTAGGTGCGTTTTGCTTGTGGTACCATCTCTTGATAGGGACAGTGAGCAGACAACAGAGAGTCGTCCTCTTGCTACACCTATCGGGAGATGGCGCCACAAGTTGATACTGTTGCTAACTTGGTCGTCTGTGAATGGGCCTAACGTAGACCAAGTTGTTTGCTCTCCTTTTTTACAGAAAAAGAACTATGCCTCAAAATTTCACAGGGTAAAACTGACCTGCTCAGTGCACATTTTGATGAAAGTTTGAGCTTTCTATGCGCAGGTGCCGATTTTTTCGGCTCGCTTTACAGCGGAAGGTCCACATGGGACACCCTATAGTTTGTTTGTACTAAATCGTTCTGGGTACGTTATTTTGCATTTCTTTTATTATATTTTTAACACAAATGAAGCACTGTCACATTAGCATGTCTTGCAACTTAAGTAATCTAGAAAATGAGCGCATTCTTTGGATGCGCTAATTTTTTCTCCAGTCCTCCAGTCGTAAGAATACGATAAAAAGTAATCAGTTTTCATTGTTTATGTGGCACTCTAGAAATTTCAGCATATCAGGGTCCACTTGACTCAGGCTGCCAACTAGAACCCTGTTTCAACTGTGGAAATAGCCTCATCAACATCCAATGTAAAAAGCATTCACAATTTTTACACCCAATCGAGCTCTTATTCTTTTCCCTCAATACCTGAAAAGTGTTAACAAGACAAGCGATATACTAACAAGACAGAGCAAACTCTTAGCATGAACAAACCTTAAAAAAAAAAAAAAAAATCTGTCTTTTTTTTATGATTATGGCTCGGGCACGAGGGACGGCACAGTGCAACCTCCCGCGGTAAAGTTATCGTCATTTCTGCACGCGTTACAGCAATGTTCCGGCCTACTGCGGGACCACGGCAAAGGGACTTTTTTATTGCAGATAAAACTCAAACAAACATATAAACTTTATGGCACGCATTTGGCCGAAGGTGCACGGTGAAGGTCCCCTTACACACCGCCTTCCTTGCCTTCTGTGACAGGATGAGCTGCCAAGAGGAGGTCCTCCGTCGCGCGGAGGATGCCTCCGAGCGGGGGGTGAGCGAGCTGCTCTCTCTCCCCGACCTTGCACTGTACGAGATCTGCGCCGCCCTCTCGTGCCCCTTCGACCTACTGAGCCTCGGCTGCACATGCCGGCGTCTTCACGAGGTCTCCTCGAGTCGGAGCCTGTGGTTGTCCCTGTCCCTCAAGTGGTGCAGCCAGCTCTGGCACTGGCTGGACTTCATCCCTTCTGAAGAGGAGCCCAAGGCCTGGCTGCTGCAGTTGTTGCACAACGACGGCAATGTCAGACGCAAGACTATGGTCAGTGTCTTGTCTGCCTATGTTGCACGTGCGCGCACGATTTGGCTGCACGTGCACGCTCGAGGCTCGTCAGATAGAAGCCCCATCGAAGGTTCGAAGCTAGTGCTGGAGGCGGGGTAACTGAAGCTCCTCCCTGCCGTTCTTACCCTGTCAGCGATTGTAGTTCAAATATTCGTGCCAAAGGGATCCAACATCGCTAATGAGGCCTTGTCAAACGCCTCAAGGGAAGGGGCGGATGCGAACATAAATCAAATATATCGTCATGCAGGCACTGCCAACTGACTTTCCCGCATTTGGTATTCATGCTGTTTTGTTCCATTTTGTTTTTTTCAGTATATTTAGCAAGACTGATCTTCCAACGAACGAGAAACTTACTTTTGTTGAAGCACTGCTTTCGTCCAGGCTTGGTGCCGTTTGAGTCTTGCACGGCTTCTCAGGGAAGCGGTAGAATTTTAAGGATTGACTACAACAATATTGGAGGTTGTTACTGCAATCAGCAATGAAAGATTTATAGTAGCTGGGCTTTGATATCTTCTTCCAATTAGTTTTTATCTTGTACATGAATGACCTAATCAACATACCAGAAACTCCAAATAAAATTCTATATGCCGATGACACTAACGTCTTTTTCACCGACAAAAGCCTAGAAAAACTTGAAAACTCGGTGAACGCTTGGCTGCACCAATTATCATTATGGCTACAATTAAATCAAATGGAGCTGAACATAGGTAAAACAAAAGACATCATCTTCAAGCCTAGAAATGAGGAGATGACCAGCACTGTGACTATAAAATTTCTAAATTCAATAATTGAGCAAGTACCTTCGCACAAGTTTTTGGGGGTTTGGTTTGACGAAACATCAAATTGGACGCGCCATGTAAACCATGTGCGCTCCAAAATATCTAGTTCTGTTGGCATTCTGAGTAGAGTCAAGTTTCTTCTTCCCAGCTGGCTTATGTGCCAACTTTATTACAGCCTTATAAACTCACATCTTAATTACTGTCTTTTAGTATGGGGTTCAACCACAAAAACCAACCTTGACAAAATCATTACCATTTAAAAAAAAGCTGTACGCACCATTGAAAGCATATCATCCAAGAGCATACAGCCCCTTATTTTTTTAAATATTGTATGCTGCGTATTGATCAGCTTTTCAATGTTAAACTTGCGGTAGAAATATATAAACAAATTAGTAGTGACCAGGCGGCATTCTACGAGCTCTATCTACGTAAAAGTACACCTTATAATCTCAGGGACCAAAATTATATGACACCGAAATCTCAAACTAATTACAGTTTACAAAGATTAGCACATCAAGTTCCTGAATTTTTAAATAAGTATTTGGAAATTGAAGAAATAGTTGAAGATGCTGTATCGTCTTATAGCTTTAAAAAGAGTGTGAAAGCTTACTTCTTGTTGAATTTTCGCTAGTGTTTTTTCTACTATAGTTGATTGTACGGCTGTGACGTAGATGGTATGACGTGTGTTCATGTGTATTTATATTACTTCTAGTGCTAACATTTTAGACTTTGTCCTATCATTGTCTAAATGCTGTTGAATTTTTTTTTCTTAATTTTTTTTATATATATATATATATTTTTTTTTTATTCCCCTCTGCTGCTGAACGATGTACACGGCTGGTGGAGCCTCGTCAGGCGGCGTTAGATTTCCTTTTGCCCCACCAGCCAAGACTACCGAGTCTGAAGAAAGTTTATTATTCCTCTATCGCAATTAATATTATTGACTAGTGTAGTCGAACGCCTATGACGGCGAAGCGGGGTGAAAAACGAGGCGAGCCACTCGACTTGGGGCGTCCTGCCAGGGGCCGGAATTGCGCTGTAGTCAGCGGAGAAACTTGAGCACTTTGGTCCTATAGCCGAAAAGAGGGTGTCGCAAGAGCCAATGCAGATTGTTGGGCTAGTTGGTACTGGGAATTTGACGTCATAAGACGAGGACAAAAGGGAGACAGACAACACGGAGCGCTACTTCAACTGTTTATTTTTGAACAATAGGGAGGAACATATATAGACTCACACCGCTTCACCTCAGCCAATCCCGGGCCTCACCGTCGCTCGCAAAAACGCTATCCCTTTGTCTAACAGGTCAGTGGTGACCTGTTAGACAATGTTGACGGTGAGGCCCGGGATTGGCTGAGGTGAAGCGGTGTGTGTCTATATATGTCCCCCCCTATTTTTCACAAATAAACAGTTGAAGTAGCGCTCCGTGTTGTCTGTCTCCCTTTTTGTCCTCGTCTTAAAGGGACACTGACAGGGTATTTATGCTCGCCGAGGTTTTTAGTTGTACGTGACATATGAGAGCTCACCTACCCAGAACAGAATTTGCGGCTCAAAATTCGGTTTCTTTCCGCCCGAAAACCGCCGATCAAGAACTGGCCGGTTCGAGTCTCGCTCAGTCTCTTTTTCGCGGTCACGGGCCGTTTTTTAAGGTATCGATGCGACCACCAAATTTAATCAAAGTCGTGGGTCACTGAAGGCACACACTCAATATTAAAAATAGAAAAAAATATGAAACCCATTTTTTGTGGCTTCTAAAAAGCTGTAAATACGTTGATTGAAAAAAAAAAAAAGTTCCACAGACAACCGGAAGCATTCTATGCGTTCGTCGTTTCGCGTACTGTGGGAATCGCGGGGACGGCGATGGCAGCGGACGACGGGCGTGGGACCTCTATTTCTGAACTGTCGTTCGCGGTACCGGCGAATTCTGTCTATCGTTAAAAGAGAAATTTGGGACTGATTAAAAGAATTGGTATTCATCCCGTATGACACGCCCGGCCACCAAGCCGATTTGCCCGAAGACGTCGCCGAGCCGTCGCTCTCTTCTCGTGGCTGAAGACATCGCTCGCGCAAACGTCAAGCACGACGTGTCTACTTCGAGTTGAATATGCACGCGTACGATTTCTTTACTAGGTGCGAATGTCCCCAAAGCGTGGTGCTTCCCGACTTCGACCCGGGAGTGCTTTTGCTAGAGAAAAATCGACAGCAAACTTTCCAACTTACAGTTTACCGGCTGAATTATTACTAAGGAAAGAGATTCATCACAAACGAGATGCCCTAGTAGCTCAGTGGGAAAGACGTCCGCTTCACACGCGGTAGGACTGGGTTCGATCCCCAGTGAAACTTTTTTTTTTTTTTTTTCAAACATTTTCCGATGTTTACATATCTTTTTCTTTTTTTTACAATCATCACTGAAGAAACAAACAAACAAATGTTGTGGACGATACTTCGCTGAATTAAATAGTATGGGATTTCCGTTTTGACAGCTGCGAACTCAATGTAATCATTTTCCACAAAATGCAAGGAGCATATAAATCAGGTAGCGTCCGCTTTCCGAGGTGCCCGTATATGTTCTACAGGAATTGCAGCCAGCTATTGGTCCCGATCCCGTTGATCTTTCGGAAACTCTGTCGCACAATGCCACTTTTTTTCGGATGCAGGACATGTGAGCCAGCTCTTTACGCAACATCTTGGGTGTATTCTTTTCGGAGCTGATCATGGAAATTCACCACGGGCACTCACTATTCATCTCCAACTCCTCAGTGTACAGAATAACTCATCGAGTACAGAACAACGAGCGGAACAAACCTAACTGCAAAAGAATCGCACGGCGAGCAGTTCCCGCACGCCGCATGTCGTGTCGTCTGCTACGGAGAGGAGAAAACAAAACAAAAAAACGCGCGGTCGGGTGTAGCCACGTGACTTCCGCCACTCACTCTCTTCTCTCCACTTCTCCGACCTCCGTCGGGTTTCAGTTTCGGTTTCGAGCAGTTGCGTCTTTTGGCTTTATTAAAAAAATACGCTACTATGTTGCAAAATATTAATGGGGTAGTCCTCCGACACCATAATGAAGCGCCTGGCAAAAAATAAAAAGAAAATTTTTGGGGGTTGTCAGTGTCCCTTTAAGCGCCATCATGACGTCAAAGTCGCAAGAGCATTGTGACAGGGCCGCGTAGTGGCTTATGAACTGTAACAATGAACTACTACAAAGTGATTCAAAACCTTTGTATCTTAGACAGAGTGCTCTCAAAGAGTCAAAGGCATGACCTTTCTTCTCGCAGCTAAAGTGCCAGCCGGATGTCGATGAGACCTGGGAGCGAGTGGAGGACCCGCGATTTGCCTGCCAGGCGGCCATGTTGAGGCGAGCCTACACGGACATGGACATTCGCGTCTCCCCGCTGGTGCTCCACCGCCGCTGGCTCTACGACATGGCACTCTACCGACGCCGCAAGCCGAAGGTGCGCTTCTGCGATCCAGAGCTGTCACTGAGTGACCTCTGCGTGTCCGCACTCGCATCCCTGGGCCGGGCCAGCGAGGGAGACCTTCGGAGGCGCAAGCAGCCCCACATCAACCCCCGCTACTACATCAAGAGGATCGACGTGTCCCGCCATGGCTGGACCGACCACCTGTTCCCTTCGGGCCCCCGGGGAAGCATCTGCCCCATGCTGACCTGCCCGTCCATAGACGGCTACTCTGAGGAGACCTCCGGTGTGTACGGCCTGGTCGCCTGCGTGTCGCGCGTCCTGGTTGCGCACCTGAAGCCGTCCTGCCTGGAGGGAAAGATGTCCCTGAGTGCACTGGCCCGGACCGTCCGCCGGGCGTGCGCTGCGCTCGAGCGGCGGTTTGCTGGCGAGCTGCCGAGGGTGAGGGAGCGATGGCGTAGCCACCCGGTGGCCCACGCCATTGTGAGCATGGCGGAGCACGGCTGGCCCGACCTGAGTGCTTGGCAGGAGGACCTGGATGGGCTGGGGCTGTCTTGGCGGGAGGTGATGGCGGCCTGCATCAAGCTGTTGGCAAGGTACCGCTGGCTGGACGCTGTAGTGGACGAGACAAGGCGGGCCTGGCGCGGGGCCCTCATGCCGCAGGTGCTCGGGGTCGTGGGGAGGGACTGTGTGGCACGGCTCAACCTGACCGACTGCGACGTCATCGGCGGCGACAACCAGAGGCAGGAGATGGCGTCAGCCGCGTTCGTGTCTGCGTCTGGGGCGCTGGTCACCTGGCAACTCTTGGGCAGGGCCTGCTACTGAGCACGGCTGCGGGTCAGAGAGCGGTATCACTCGGTTCTGAGAGATCCAGGCACGATTTGTGTCGGTGTTCCCTTTTTATTCTTTCTGAAAAAAAGATTTTTTTGTAGGATCGTACTTTGCACGAGCTCAAGACTGAAGATTAAACTGGGCGCAGCAGTGGATAATGCTGGTGCCTTGATATTACGACCCGCTGCGTCAAAGGGGATAGCTGGCACGACGAGGTCGATCAAAAGAGGGATAGTTGAAGAGCCGGAAAACAAAATTAGGACCGTTCTACCTCTAGGGACGATGATAACGAAACAGATAATTTGGTATTTGTTGTTTTAGCGTTAAGAGATGAGATTGGCACCTAGAAAGCTGTTGTACATGTGCCCGTTATACAGCAGTGCCTTTGCTGAAGCTCGTAATTTAGTGCGTTATAGGAATTTTACAGTGATATATAGGTAGTAGCAGCTTTACAAATGGGCTGTAGTATGGTGTGTTTAATTTCTTTCGATGCAAAAATATTTAGTCGAGTTTCCCTTCATTTGCAATCGGAGTAATGTATGCTGCTCGATAGAGGTGAGGTACAGAGCTAAAGCTTTTGAGCACATACTACACGACAGTGCAAACAACATCGACATTGTTTTCTTTTCCGAAGTTGATGCTTACGAGTCAGTTTAACCTCTTCACTACCGACCTAAGAAGCAATTGAAAACAACCGATTTTTTTTGCTATTTTTATTAAGCGTCCTCTTAACAATGCATAGAAAAAAAATAGTCAAGAAATTTGATTTATTTTAGCTGAAACAAGTATGTACACAAACGTGGACATAAGTTGTGTTCACGATGGACGGGCCGACCACGAATGTCGGAATCAGTGCCTAGCGTTATGAAACTCGGCGAAGCAGTTTTGCTTCTGAAGGCACAGAAAAATATTGCATTTCATGCACCTCACCCTTGTTCTTCCTTTGCAGTTTTTTTTCCTGCACCGCATTGCATTTTCGAGCTGGCAATATTCTGGGAAGTGATCGAAGTGGTCGCTGCGGGTATCGTTGTTAGGGAGTTGCACAGGCCTTGTTCTGTTGATTGTGGGCTCGTTGCTTGCTCTTTCAGTCCTGCTGTTTTCTGTAGAATTCGCCTTGATCAATGTTTCTGCAATATCTTGCTTGAATTGAAGTAAGGGAAGGATTTCTTTCTTCGGAATGTCCAGTTCTTGGGCGTCCCGCCGGTACTCAATCCAGGCGTTGGACACGGCAAGGTCAAGGAAGTGCGTGAAGAATCGAATGGTCCATTTTCTTGTTTTGATCTTAATTCTGTAGTACGCCACATACCTGTCAGCCAAGTCCACACCGCCCATGCACCTGTTGTAAAGTGAGACAATAGCTGGCTGAGGAACAGTAATTTTCTTTTTTTCTTCCTTGGACCACCGCTTGCACATACCAATTGGGTCACACCCAACTGCGCTCGACAAGAAAAGAACTCCTTTGTTATCTTTCCATTTCACAAGACAGACTTTTCCGTCCTCGCGTACGAGGCAAGCACTTTCACCACGGTTCATTGACCTGTCACTCGGCAAATTTCCGACTGCTCCTTGTGTGCGGTTAGCGTTCACAGTGCCAGTCAAAAACATTTGCTTCTCAGTTAGGTAGTCCACAATTGACAGTCCTGTGAAAAACCTGTCAGTGAACAGGTGCGCCTTCTGGTCGCTTACGGTTGTTGAAAGGTGCTTCACGACTGCGCCACCCAGGCCATACAACTTCATGTCTTCAGGAGTCACTGTATTTTTGCCGGTGTAAACCAGGAAGTCTAAAACAAGGCCGTCGGGGGAAGCCAAGACAAAATTCTTCAGACCAAGTGGATTTGGCTTAGAAGGAAGGTATTGCCTAAATGCACACCTTCCCGAAAATGGGATGATCTGCTCATCGATTGAGCATTCTTTTGTGCGCGGCAATGAGCGGCAAGCACTTTGAAAGCTGCTAACGATTGGCCGCACAAGGCGTAACCTGTCTTCTTTCTGTTGTGCTGTAACTGCGGAGATGTCCACAAAGTGCAGGTTATTGCGCAGCTCATAGAATCTGTTTCGGGTCATGTGGTCAGCAACAAAAGGTGTGCGTGTTGCTCGTGACCAGTACAGCTGGACTTGAGGAAGGTTCATAATTCCCATCAGTAGGTGTATGCCAGCGAGCTTCCTCACCTCAACTACGTCTGTTCTCACTGACCGGTGATTTCGTTTCTGAACAGAATACAAATTTGTTTGTTCAGCGAGTTCCCTCCAAAAATCCATTGGAAAATATTTGGCGAAATACTGATGTGGGGACAGAAGCTCCCGAAAACCGACGTCTGCTTGACCGTGACTGTCTGTCATGTCAGGGTTTGTGAATCTGGAAAATCAGATATTATGTAGGTTAACCATACGTCAAACTAGAAATATTTTGAAAGAAAGATGCTATGAATAGACGTGCGAGAAAATTTAGTGCAACAAAGTGCAAGAACTCACGTTCCTGGCTTCCAGGAGCTTTTTTTCTGCTTTTTGGGCCGGTTGGCGGTGTCCGGTTCAGGTTCATCTTCATCTTCGGATGTGTCATGACCACTTGCCGATGACGGCAAAGCACGATCATCATCATCATCAGACTCTGAAAGGTCCGCGTCGCTCTCTTCCAACATGGCAGCGATCTCATCATCGGTCAGGAATCTGGCTGCTGAGAACAAGCCAGAAAGAGAAGCGGCGATGTTCACAACCTTTGTCCACAAATGTGACACATTGTAAAAAGATGCGCTTGAAATCAACCGTTGTGCTTTTTGGCCTAGAAATAATTCATGTCGTCTTCGGGAGTTATAAACTTCATTACCAAATGACTCTTTTCCCAAGGAGTGAGAAAAAAGGTACAATAATTGTCAAAACTTACCTCGTGGTCGCTGTCCGACTCTAGAGCTGGATGCCGCCATTTCAACTTTTCCTGAAGGCGCTTTGACTGGACAGGTGGCGCCGCCTCTTGGGTATGGTGGCAACTACAACCACCTCTTCTAAACGCGCCAAATTTGAATTCCGCCAAACATCCCTCCTTGAGGTACAGCGCATAAATGTGGATGTTCACGAATGTGTACACCGGTAGCGAAGAGGTTAAAACATCACATTTTACTACCAAGGTTGGTGCCCCAGACTAGCACATTCCACTGTATAGATTTAATTGCAGCCATGTGACCATGAAAGAAAAATGAAAAACAAAAAATTATGATTGCTTGTTTGTGCTGCATTGCGCTTTGTGGTCTGTGCCAATTACGTAGTTGCACTGTTGCTAGCACTACCTTTTTAAGAGCCTGCAAGTTTTGTTAACAGCATGTCATCTATTATGGTTTCACTGTTGTACCGGATGGTTGCACCAAAAAAAACTATGGGCCTGTTGCGGTATTGAAAAGGTGGAGATGATAACTCGGTCTGAAGACACGTGCGACGACTGTGCAGATTGCTCATGTCAAGGTTGTTGGGTGTTGAGGTGATGACAGGTGCATCTTGTACAGATCTTGCATGAAAGAAGGCTGCCTGTGCTGGTGCAACACAAGCGACACAGCATTTATGGCTGATCTCATAGTTACTGGGAGATCTAGAAATGCAGGTCATGGCCTCCTATGTTTATGCTGCTTGCATTGTTCTTCGGCATTCTTACAGTCACGTGCCTTTGTCTTCATTGGAAGCAAAAAAGATGCTGCGAGGTTTTCTAAACTATTGGTAACAATAGTTCACATAACAAATTTCCTTGCGACTATATGCGGCCACGCACCGATTTGGAAGGCGGCTCAACTGCCGAGCGAATTTATACTGGCTTCCATTTTCTCTAGCAGCTCTTTACAAAAAAGGATGTGTAGAGTCTCTGCCAGGGGTTAAATGGACCACGAACCAATTTGGTAACCTTCAGGAAATACCGTTTTCAGTGAAGCGTCAATGCTTGTAGCTTACAAAAGGCCAGTGGTTTTTCTTTCACCATGCGAGCTTTTGCAGAAAAATAGAAAAGAAACACTTCAGAAGATTGAGAAGTGCCAAATTTTTATTGTCATAGGCAGGATAGTTTGTTCCTTCTTTAGTGTTGGATGCCGCACCCTTAAGTTTGCAGTGCGGAGAGACAGTTACATTCTGCGTTTCAGATATCTGTGATCTTTTATTACCGCAGAGACTCGTGACAAACTTATGAGCTGCATCAGGCAGTTCCCAATTTTCAGAATTTCGGGAGGTTTGAGCTGTGCATCACTTAAAAGAATGCCCTTGTGGAACGAGCGCTCGCTCAGCAGAATCCTGCCTTTATCTAGTATATATAGCACTCAAAACGGCGACTTGAAAAATGATAGATTGAATGCAGACGTAGCAGGTGCGGTTCACCAATGGCACTGTGGACCACTAACATTGAGCCAAAGTTGGCACTAAATTTCTCTACGAGGCTTTCTAAAGAAAAATAAAAAGGAAGTTCTACATTAGAAATGAAGTTTGGGCCAATTAGTCTTATGTGGGCCTATTAGCCTTATGCGTACGCATGCTTGCATCTCGTTGCACAATACCCTTTTCTTTGAAATCTTTCCATGGTCCCTTTAATTCGAGGCACTAGGTGCCAAAAGTGGCCGTTTCCTAAAATACCGCTTGGATATTGAAGTAAAAGGAGACTGCATTTACTAGTAATTCTTTGGCAAGTAGCATGTTTGCTGAGAATTGTACTGTGCAGAAAAGAACTTGGGTTATGAGACCGATATAGGGCAGGACAAGGGCGTAAGTTACAAGTGACTCAAAGTCGTGGGCTTTCAGTTACATGTTTGTCGTATAAGCCAGTCTTCCAAGTCTTGGGTCCTGAGGAAGTTGGTTGCCAATTAGCTCCCTTCCCAGAAGTGCTTTTTTTTCCTTTACATGTTTGTTACCCTCTGATTAACACTACCCAACAGTGTCTCTCCTCACTGCTGCTTGTTTAGGCACCTGTTAGGGGCAACTGCAAGAAATTTTACTTCATTCAATTATATTTGTATTGGGGGAGTGTTTCTAAACATTTTATTTTGTGGGTTTGGAAGATTGTGATTTTGGGAAAAACTAGAAAATATTTGTTGCAGTTGACCTCTAAGTCCACTGTGCCTATTTGGACCTTAAAGGTGGGCCTCTTGGGAGCACGTGGGTGGGCAATTCATTTAACATTCAAGGTCAGCACCATTCTTCTGAAGGGTGCTACCAGATTTTAGTTTTTATGGAATGTTGAGAGTTCAGCCACTATTTTTTTTTATTATTAAAGTTTAGATAATCTTGCACAACCTTAGGATATATAGAGTTTATATTTTTACATGTTAAAGCATGTTTTATACACATCTTTGCACTTGCCCATTTTTGTTGTCGCAAGGGGTGTTTGCAACAAAGAAGTGTTTCCAAAGAACTTTTGCACTGTCTTCTTTTTCAACAAAGTTTGATTGAACCTCGTGCACAATGCAAGATTTGTACAATAGGTGTAGACTCCGTGCACGTCGCAGGTGCCAGATAAAGTCCACTTCTCAACTTGGTTGCTAGTGGCGCCACCAGATGGCTCTTCATCTGTTGCGAGCCCGATTTCCCATGGGAGACATGCTCATATTTCAAGCCGGTTTTGGGGTGCGTCACATCATGTTGGCACTTGTGCTATGTGTGTTGCTTAGACGCAGCATTGTCATTGACCCTTCTAT